CCTAATGGTATTACAAATCCTGTCACAATATCAGTAGTGAAGTGGGAAGAGAGAAATATTAGGATGGTGCTCTATAGTCATAGAGCTTGGCAAAGAATAATCTGACTCTTCTCTTGCTCAGACCAATGAAATGTCAATCTCAACAATCCTGATTTTTAGTCTGTTTGGGAGACCACTGGAATCAATCTTCACCTGTCCAAGGGGAACAAAGACTTCCAATTTAAGTGCTCCACAGTGTTCGAAATAAGAAACTTGAACTTGGTGTGTGAATGGATCAGTAGCATCATTGTTGTTTCCAATTTAACAAGGAATTAAATTGCCTTAGCAAAATATTCTTTTAGATAAATTGTAAAGCAAGACCATATAATCCAGCAGACTTCCATATGGGATTTTGCACACACATCTAGTATAATTTGTCAGAAAGCCACTTAAGAAAACATCAAAGCTGTGTGAAATTTGACCATTTCAGACTACTGATTGTAGCCTGTCCCTCATAATGCCCCACCAGATAATTGGATAAGTCACAACAGAATTAAGTATTTATTTGATTCTTTCTGCACATTTCTGAACACTAAGAGAATTTCCAAGACAGCAATAATCTAGAAAGTTTACAGAATTTCTTATAATTACATTAATGCATTCAGAGGGTCTATATATCGTTGCAGATGAAAACCTCTTAGTCTTACTAAAATCAAATGTATTCAGTATAACAAACGTGATTATGTATGTCAGAAGAATTTTTAGTGATTTCAACGAATTATTTTATTTAATTAGCTTGAGTTTAATTTTAAGTCTTAGAAAAAGTGCAAGATCTTTGTAAGAATAATTGCCTGTTATTATCCACTCTGATACCACCTTGATCGGTAAAGAATTTCTATGCATTGCTGATATTGCAGAAAGTCAATAGGAACAAGTAAGCATACCTAAAATGGAAGAAATCTTAATATATTCAAAACATTCAGTAATTTGTGATTTTTTTTAAATCAATTTAAATAAACTGTTTTAAACGATTACCAGGGAAAAAAGTAAAAGTATTGATAAGCTCATCCCTTACAAAACTGTTGTATTGTGCAGATGCAATTAGTTTTCTTTCTGTAAAACCATCAGAAAATTCAGTGGCTCCCTAAGGTATATTTAAATATTCTTTGATGAATTTTCTTGTGTCATGCTTAATTGTGCATGTGTCACACAACTCCAAAGAATGCTACAGTGGGAGCAATTACTTCTCCTATATAACTGTAATATGGTTTCATATATAGCATGAATAATTTACATATATTGGGTTTGAGCAGGAACAACCATATTTAATGCAGTCCTTCAGTGAAAAGATTCTTGTCAGTCATCTGCTCCCGGGCAGATTGTTATCTACGAAGCAAGAATCCAGTCTGCATGTAAGGCAAAGAGAATGTCTTTTGTTAGTGGAGTGTGCTCAAGTGGATGAGGAAGATTCAAAACAATTCAAGTATTTTTGTATTTTTAAACACCCTGAGTTTTATGTGTCCATATATCAACAAGTCCCTAAGTCAGGAAGCAAATGGAGTCTTGTATGGAATGCAGAGAGTGTTCCTGCCAAGGCTGGGCAGCATTCCTGGCCGTGGGAGTTCCTCATTACAGCTCACCTGGTGTCACTGCTACTACCTCAAAAGCATCCCTTCTCCTCAGAGCCCTCACATGATTTTCACTGTTCTTTCTTCCTTCCTTCCTTCCCCCACCCCATGTGTTATGTCAGCATTGCAAGCCTGGTTAGGAGCACACAGAACTGGCATTTCTGCATCCTCTTGATTTTAGGCACCTGGAAAAGAAAGGAATTTTACCTGCTCATTAAAGGGTATACAAAGGAAAATCAATAATCTTCACCAGTTACTATTTTATGTTTGAATCTGTGACCTGTGGGTATGGAAATGATAATTACTGCTTGCTTTTACATGAGGGGTGGGATTCTGGCACCCTTGGGATTTGCTCTCCAGACTGGAGTGGCCTCAGGCCGTTTCCCCGGGCTGCACTCTCTGCTGCTCTCTACAGTGTCTCTTCCATCCCACCATTATCTCCTGTGCCCTTTTCTGCCCCTAGTTCAGTCTCATTTTGTTCAGCTGTCAGGATGCACAGGCTTCTCTTGCAGCACCTCTCTGACCACTCAGCCTCTGTCTCCTGCATTGCACTGCCCAGTTCCAGTTCCTCGCAATCCTGTCTTCTGTGTCTTGGCAACAACTTCTGCTAGGATCTCTCTAGAAAGCTTCTATTCTGTTCCTGAATACACAGCTGAACTTTCAGAAATGTTTTTTGCATTTTTTTTCCTGATGTTTTCTAAAATCTGCCTGAGAATCTTGGAAATTTCCTAGAGGTTTTAACTCTAAATACATCCTTTTTCATAAAGCTGTGAACAACTGAACATATGACTTTGTGACTGTGATACTCACAAACCTTAACAGAAGACAACCTTTTAGCCTTTCCTTTTCAACTGTGCCAAATAACATTTTTGACTCGTTGTGCCTTGTTAGGCTGTTAATTCACAAGATGTGATTTCACTGAAATCACATCCTTTTCTTGCTCTCATGAAAATTAGTGACGATATCACTGCTAGCTGTTTTTTGCTGTGTTTTAAAAATATTCAAACAGTTCATTGATATCAACACACAGGTGTTGTACCTCTAAGTTTAAACAAAGCCTTGTAGACCAAGAGAATGTGTGACTGGAGGACTGAGCAGAAATAGCACTTTTTATTACTACAAATACATCTTTTTTCTTTAAAAGTAGTAGGGAGGAAGTAAGTTCTTTGATGCTGATTCTATTTTTAATTAATTTTTAGGGCCATTTAACATGACTAGAAAGTTTGAAGTTTCATGTTGGCACTGTACATTACGATTTAATGACCTAGACTTATTTACACATAAATGAGTTTTTTAATGGTCTAATTAACAAAATGCATCAGTTTGCCTCTTTAAGGTAGTATCTTTTAGTAATTTCTAATGTTTAATAAAATATGAAAGTCTCCCATTATTTTAAGTACTTTCCCAACAAACTGTTTCCTTGTAACATGCTGCTGCTGCTTCAAAATATTGGACTGTACATTCAGACTAAATTTTAAAATAGAATAAATTATTTTAATTTATAATTCAGAGGAATTTGATATTTTGGATAGGAAAAAAAATTAAACTAAAGGTTTACATCTTGATAAACCCCTGTATGAGTTATTCCTGGCTCCCAGGAACTGCTCTTTTTAGGAGAGGGTTCTGTTCTCCTGTTGAAGTGCAGAAGGTCCAGTGAGTGAAATTAGAGGTAAGTTTGTCTTCTCTGCACTAAGAATGTTCTCTGCTTCTCTCAGCTGCTCCGTCAGACTTGATCCGTGGTGGATTAAGTCCAGTTCTAGGAGTTTGGTTTTATTAGGAGATTTAATTATGGCATACTTCTGATTTTTAAGCCTTCTTTCCAGTTGTGTTATCTAGAAATCAATTTACATCAGAAAGAGACAATGTATCAATTTTCTGCATTTTATTATCTCTTTTCTGGAGGCTTCCAAGAACCTTGTAGAGATAAATTCTACCCCTTTTTAAAGAGCAGGAAGCTGGGGAATAGAATGAGTCAAGACTTGCCCAAGATCACAGAGAAAACTGAGCAAAGATCTCTTCATTCTTAGCTGATTCTTAATATTGTGATGCAGGCCAACATTTCTGATGTGCAATAGTCATAAGGGGCAAACTTCAGGTACAAGGGGACCCCCACTGGCGTCCATGGGGCTGCTTGTATGAATGAAGCTGAGCATTCAGGGAAGGTTTTTGCAGGATTAAGGCTCTACATACGGTGGAGAATTGAGCTCTATCTGTACTTTAAATAGATTCCCAATCTTTTGTGCTTCCCATTGTCCAGTGTTGTCTCTCACTCTGAAATAGGGCATATCAGACAGGCAGGAGAGCTGAGCAGACGACTGGAAGGGAGAAGGCTGTCTGCTATGAATTAAAAATCTAAAGGCTGACCCCCCAAATCATAGGCTTCAGTTTCAATAACTTCCACAGCTTTGATATCAGCGCTGTGATTCTATTTTGGTTTGTCTTCTGATTTTTGAACTCCTGGGGTTGGCTACACTGACATCATCTCTAAATTTGGTGGGGAGAGAAAAAGGCAAGCATTGTTAGGGTGCAGGAGCCGGCACAGCAGCAGCTGCTGATTTGCTCAGTCAACACAGTCTATTTTATCACACGGCTTGAGATCGAAGGTTTCTCAACTATATTTTTAGCACCTTAAGTAAAAGCTTGTTTGTTTTTTGACTGAGGTGATTATACCCTTGATGAGGCGTTACTGCTTGTTCTGCAAAATAATAAAGACTGTTAATCTTATGATAGACTCAGAAGTAAAAACAAGCATCACTCTAACCTCTATTATATTATATTCATAGTCAGAATGTCCAAAAAAGAGACCTGCATCTTTTAAATCATTATCATCTCTGCTTTGTTGCGCATTGCATTGCTTACAAAAGAAAAGAAAAAAGTTACCAGAGTCTCCTATTAGTGCTGGGGAGCTATGCAATGTAAGTAAATAACAGCACAGAACATCAGCAAGATCAGGACAGGGAATGTCTGTTTACGAGCTGTATCTCAGGAATATTTTTAGTCTGTATCCCTTAGAGAGAGGATTTGCAGCAAGAAACACAGTATGTTCAGGGAGTTCACTGTCACCTAAATAGCCCCTGCACTGGAGACCATGGAGTGTTGCAGACCATAATTAATCATTCAGTTTACTATCTGTGGTAGGTCAGTGATGTGGTGACAGCCCAGTGAACCTGGGCAGCTTGTGAGCTCTCCCAGTGAGCTGTTCTGAGGCGGCTCTGCAGGAGCCTGGGCAGCAGGACTCTGCTTCTGCTCACACAGCACCATCCCAGGGACAGGGACAGCACCACAGCACCACGGGCACAGGGACAGGGACAGCACCACGGGCACAGGGACAGCACCACAGCACCATCCCAGGCACAGGGACAGCACCACAGCACCATCCCAGGGACAGGGACAGCACCACGGGCACAGGGACAGCACCAGGCTCTGCCCGGGCTCATCCCCCTGATGGGAGCAGTGGGACCATACTGCGGCTCTGCTTGTAGTGCCAGGGAATTTGGAAATATCACTACAACTCTGAATGTGCTATGCACACAGGCACCTGGTGAAACAGGAACAGAGGGGCAAATCCTGGCTCCCAGCAGAGTCTGTAGGAGTTCTCATGTTGCTTCAGCTGGTTCAGGATTACACCCCTCTATGCTTTCACTGGCTTGGGGTTTCCCACCTCCATATGGACCCATCCCACAGCTGGGATCATCACATCTTATTCATTGCATTTTTTATTCTTCATCCAAGTTGTTTTGCAACTGTTATAAATGGAAGAATAAATCTGTGGCAATGTCTTGTCTGTTTAGATAGAAAGGAACAAGGACTGCCTTTTACTGTCTGTTGCTATAGTGCCTAGCACAATAGGGGCCTGGGTCTTCACTGGAATCAGTGCAGGATCCCCATTGTAGGACAGAAATGTTCCTGAGGAGATAGAAAAATACAAGAGCCACTCTGCAATGCAGTCATGTGCCGTAATGGCATAAAATAATTTGACATCAGCCTGGTTCCATTCTGTGTGGGACCATATCCTGCTCTGCAAAAATTTCTCCAGTACTAAAAATGATCCTTCATATGGCACTGATGTTCTTGCAGTAGCACAGGTGATTTTAGAGACCCCCAGAGCTCCCAGTCCCAAATACAGATCCCATACTCTAACCTGGGACTAAATTTGGTGAAAAGCAGCTGCACAAGGGATGAAATGTGCATAATACTTAACAGTACAAGAGCTGCAAGACAGAATGTGAGCTAAAAAATTGTGCTCTGTTAATATGAGGTGGATTTAAATAAGTAAGAAATTATCTGCCAGGATGTAATTTGGCAAGAAGACCAAACTTAATTCTCTCATGTCATCCAAAGTGTGTCATGTCCATCTGAATAATGTCCTCCCAAATGGAAATAGGCAGAAACTTTCCAGTAAGCACTACTTCATTAGAAAATGCTGAGTTACTAAGATCAAAAATATATCACAGGAAATTCTGTGGGTCCCTGAGTTTTTATGTTGGATTTTGTATGGCCTTCCTCCAGCTCCAAGACACTGAGCAGGCTTCCTGAAGCCCAGCTAGGAGCTCACATATCTTCCAGGTATCTTTGGTAGAGTAGGAAACCTTGAATTTCTGAGATGCCTGATCCAAGTTGGGGCTCCTGATGCTTTGACTAATTTCTTCAAAAATTTGGATACCTTAATTCCTACCCCAATACCCAGCCAGTGGAGGTGGAAACCTGGTAGCCCTAGGAAAGCTTCCCCGGTAGTGGTTCACTCTTTTTCTCCTCCAGCAGTGGTCACTGTAAATTCCAAGTTTTCTGGTTAAAGTGAATGCCCATATTTCTGAGGTTCCTACTCTGTTGGTAGGTGAGAACAAGCAATCCCAAGAACCCTGAGGCTCTCAGTTCTGCTGCCTTCATAAGGGTTCTTGTTTCCAGGATCATCCAAGATTTTTACCATTTCAGACATTTCCTTTTTGTTCAGACAAAATTATCAGCAATAAAACAATTTCTTTTTTTCAATGAAAGATTTTCAGAATTTTAATTCCACAGAAAAATTTGAGAATCTACTACTTTACTTTCATTCAAAACAAAAATGTAGAACAGAAATCTTGAATTTTGGGTGAAAGCATCTGCAAGAACTGTCTGGAGAATTACTCAGTGCCTGCTCCTTGGACCACATGCTCCATGCTGAATTGGTAGCATCACTGCAAGCCTGCCTGCCTGGGGATTTGCCATCTGAGCTTGTTTGAGTGAGTCATTCTCAGCCTGTGAGATGTGGCATATCCAGACTGGGAGGTGGGTAATGTTTGGCACTTAGTTCTTGGTGCTGTATTGTTTACACTAGAGCCATTAAATGTTCTATAACCTTCAGATATCTTGTTTTTCAGCCATGACTTTTGCAGTGTCAGGCTGTGTTGAAGCACAGGAACAGTATGTTCAGTCATGGTGTGTGCAGAGTTCAAAGCTTTGTGACTGTTACACAAAACCTCCCTGTGCTTTGAGAGCTATAATCCTTCCTCTTGACAGAATCATTAAAAATAGCTGTGGATGTTAAACATGCTCCCTGCAACCCATAACAACAACATTTCATTGCATCAGAGTTAATAGCTGTGCAAGGACTGAGCACTGCTGCCTCGTGCTGTGTGGCAAAGTGCTTGCAGGATCAGCATTGGAGAGAGCTCAGGGCTGGGTTGGAAGGATTGGCAGCTGTCAATATCCAGGATCAGAAAATTCAGAAAAGGATAGTGAAGACCGTATTCAAGGCAGTGCAATGGAATTTCCTCACCAACTCTTTTGCCAAAATTATATTAAAAAACAGTTAATCTGGGAATTATTCCAGCAGATCATGCACAGAGACATCAAAAAAGAAATGGTGCTGGCATAGATTTATGTATAACGAGTGAGATGTCAGCACTGTGCAGTGATTTCAGCACACTGGTGCCTAACAAGAGAGGAAAGGTGTATGCTGGGGGAAAGAGCGAGAAGAAAGAAAAGTTTCAGACAGTATTTGTTTAAAGAAAGAAATCTATCATATGGCTTTTTAAAATGAGGATAAAACTACTCTCTCCAGCTGCATACAAATGGGAGAGCAGCTCACATATTAAAATGGATCTGGGACTTTCAAGTACTTCACTCAATATGCAGAAAATTATACTGGATGTCGACAGCTTTTCTCCACAGAGAAGACAGCTGTGGGGGTCCTTTTATTAGACTGCATAAAAAAAGTCCTAAAGTGAAGTTTTGCCAAGTAAATAGGCAACTATTCGATAAAACAATCAAGTGCTGTTTTTATTTTGCTGTTCAGTGTGGAGTTTGTTACATTTCCTGCAAATAATACAGAAAACAAATCTCTTTTTAGGACTGTGGGAAGTACTCACATATGACAAATGGTGATTGGTACACAAATGTGCTGAGCTGGTAATGTCTGTGCTCTCCAGAGCCCATGAATCATCTGCCAGTGCCAGTGTGATGTTAAAGCAGATAAAAATATTTTCCTTTTCCATTCTGAAACAGAACCAAGGAACCTTCCTGATAATTAGAGATGACACCCTGTGAAACCACAAACCCTGCCTATTGCCTGGGAACTCTTTTCAGTTCCATGCATGAACTGCACATATCACCCTTATTGTCACACAGGTAGCCCTGGAGAGACCCAAGCCTGGATTCAGGCACTGGGAACTTCAGCTCCCCTGAAACTGCCTCACCTCCATCTCTCCATGGCTGGGATCAGTGTAGCCCTAAAGGCAAACTCACTTTGTGGAAGTCCTTTTGCTCAGGAACAGCCTCCTGCATATCCCTCCCAGCTGATGGTGAAAAAGCCCATCCTAAAGTACTTCAGGGATTATTTGAGTCTTCTGCAAGAACAGAGGGAAAGCTGTTTAGAAAGAAAAATTAGTTTATGCTGTTGAAAGTGATGGTTATATCTTTCACAAAATATTTATGATTCTAGTATGAGCATCTGGGACACAAAACAGTTAATGTGCAAACAACAGAGCTAACTGGGATATTATAGAGCATCAGCAAACATATACAATATAAATTTGACAAGAGAGATAAAAATCAGCCTGGCAGCTTTTAATTTCCATTTCCACTCAAAAGGCAACTTCCCAGAAACAGCTGCACTATTCCCATGCTTTACCTCTCTCAGAATCAAGAAGGGCCTTTGCATTTCAGGGAAGGAATGCTTCCTCCCTGAAACTTCATATATTAGCTCTCTTGGGTTTTCCTCTCTTAATTGCTTTCAATCAGAGCAGAGGTTTCTTTGTTGTTTGTCTTTTTGTGTTTGCTTGAAGAGCTACAATTAAATACCAATTACAATTTGGATAGGTGACAATGTAATGCCATTCCTGTTTAACTGTCTTTTTCAAGTCTTGATAACATGTTTTAATCACAGTGACTGTTAACACATAGAAAGCCAAATGCAACAAATACAGATGCTATTATTCAGTTTGAAATGATTGCCATTTAAGAAAAGTAAAAGGACTGATGGAATTGATATACTGAGAGAGTTTTGTAAATCTCTGCAAAGGCACAGGAATACTTTGCATAGGGCATTGTGAGATATGTCTGCAGCTAGTTATTCTTTAAAAATCCTTACACAGGTTCAAAAATTCATCCCATTTTATGTCTTTATAATGTGTACTTTGTTCTTCATTTTCTATAGTAGTAGAAATGAAAGGCTAAAATCATCTCCATGGCTTGTCATTTCACAGGTTATTGCACTGGCTCATCCTTCAGCTTTTTGCCACAAAGACCCTTTGAAGCTTGCCCAGTTCTCTCTAACTGACTTTTATATCTGACCTCCACCAGCACTTAATTGAGGGATATTTGCTAACTTAAGTAGTCAGTATTGCATTTTCTGTCAAATTTCTCCAAACCTCTTTTCCCATGTCTGCACAGGGCCCAGATCCTCACCCATAGCACAGCAAGGTGCAGAATGCAGCTGCTCTTCCCTGACTCACCTTTCTCTATTCCTCTCCTGTATCCAGAGAGCTGATCAAGGTGAAACAATTTATTGCCACTTCATTGACTTGTGCTACATTCCCACTGGGATTTCAGTGCCACCTGGGGCTTCTCAGTGCTAGAATGACATGAATGTTTCATAAAGTAAATTTAGAGAAGGAAGGAAGGCAGGTAAGAGTCAGGTTGCTCAGAAATGTTGAATAATGGGACTGGAAGGAATGCTCGAGGTCCCTGTGAGCTGAAATTCCACTCTGATGTCTCTATTCTGCCATTACTCGTGGTTGTTAGTTCTGGTGGGTGTTGCACAGTAAAGATGCATTAGAGTAATTATATGGTAATGACAGAAGATCATGAGTTAAAGATGCTGTGAATTCCTGTATACACATCTGAAATTGTTTGGAGCTGATGCAGGAGGTGTATCCACATGGAATTTGATAGCACTGATATTGTAATTAAAGCTGAGGAGAGAGATGAGGTTTGCACTTATTTCTTACTGCTACCTGTGAATATTAATTAGCTCATGGAGCCACCTGACCTTAGCAATAATCAGCTCTGTTACATAGAGGAGAAGGGAAAACGTGAACTGCCCTCTAAATATTTATTAAGAAAGCCAAGATGAAAAGAGCCTGGTTGTTGTAGAGAATAGAGGTTCCTGGAAGCCAAGTTGCCCCCTTTGTGGTGGAAGGAAGATCAGAATCTTTCCAGTTTCCTCTGCTTTGTGGAGGACAAGGACAATTCTATCACCACAAAGGTGACAGAAACATGCCTGGTTTGGCACACAAATGAGTAAGAGAATGTCAGGTCTGCAGAGATTTCTCTGAGACTTTCTGTATTCCTGCTTGCCTTCCTACCTGCATGAGCTGTATGGAGAAGTGATTCCAAAAGGCAAAAAATATAACCCTGAGCTCCAGAGTGTCCCCAAGTCTGGACATTATGTATATTAGTCTTTTTGAGGGTTTCACATCACCCTCGGACAGAAGGGAAATTATTATTTCATCATCTATGAGATTGGATGAAAAGGTACATTGGGAAAGCCTGCAGTTTTGTACTGGGGAAAGCCCTGGGTATTAAACGAAATAAAACTAAAATTCTAGTCCCACGTCTTAGGCTGCCTGGAAAAACAATCCTTTTCTCCATTCCCACTAGTAGTGTAGTCTGGGCTTTGGAAACACCCAGAAAATTGGGATGAGGGAGAAATTTGAGTGTCTGCTTTTTACAGATGCCAAGTACAAGCCGTGGAGAAAAGGAAGATTATATCTGCAGCATAACTAGGTAGCTCTGTTTCTTTCCTTGTTAGGACCTGGTCTTGTTTGCTGCAGTCAGGAGCAGCCTTCCTAATGGTTTCCTGGTAAGGCTCATTATTGAGTTCATATTTTTGTTCTTCTCACATCTCCCTCACCTCCTCTCAAAGTCCCCTCCCCAGTCATGAGGACTGGATCACCTGTGATACACAGACTTTGGAGTCTGTGTGGAGGGCCAGGCTGTGTTAAAAACGAGGTGTGTTCTTCATCTCCTCAGGCTGACTGGAAAGTAATTCTCTGAAGAGGTGGAAGAGCACGATGCTGCTGTGCACCGGTGTCTGGCTGCTGCCCTGCTGGAGATCCATGAGCAACAACAGCACGGCAAGTCCTCTTTCTTCTTTCCTGACAGCACCACAGTACCTGGATCTTAATCAGTCAGTGTCAGACAGTGTCACAGCTCTGAGCGCTGCTCCGAGCAAAGCACAGCACCGACGCCTCCCTGCTGCTGTAGCTTAGGTTACCATTACCAGCCTGAGCTGCCTGATGTAACACTCCTGTGCTCCAGGCAGGCTGAAACCCTCTCAAGTGTTGGCACCAACACGTGTTCAGATCAAGGCACCTCCAGCCCTGGGCGTGGTGGTGTCTGTGCTCCCGTGGCTCTGTCAGAGGCACCAGGGCTGCACTGCTGGTGGCAGCACAGGTGGGAAGCAGAGCTGCTGGACAGGGGTGTGATGAAAGGAAAAATGATTGCTGGGGTCACTGGTATCATTTTAGTCATACATGTTATAGGGACGGATGAATTTGTGCATATTTTATATGAAAACATTACATGCCTCTTGGGCTATCTGGTTTGTAACTTTTGACTGGCATGGTTTAAATCAGAAAGGATGGAGGGCAAGCCTACCTAACAGGAAATGGTGACATAATATTTTTAGCAGAAACAATCAAATAGCTGACTAGAGGGAATAATTGTAGCTCCATCAAAGTTAGAGTGGTTTACTGTTTCCAGCAGTGAATCTGGCATCAAAGGGAATCCTAAACCTGAAATCCTTGGAAAGAAGTGGGTTATCAGCAAATACAAATTGATTCATGTAGAGAACAAAGACAACATTTTGTGAGTGGGACAGCCTGGCTTTTCCCAGCTCAGTGACAGCTGTCCCTTCCTGGAGCATGGAGTGGTTAAGCTTGGCCTTTCACCATGTTAACACATTTTCCTCAAGGCCTTGTACCTTCAAGGTAGGAATAAATAAAGCTTCATTTTAAAAAACTATTATATAAATTACATCTGTTCAAAGGGTCCTGCTGGGAATGTTTTTAAGTTCCGTGAGTGAGTTAAAACTGTGGTGTTAATACAGGGGTCTGGTGAACTGGGTTCACCCGTGAGCACTGAATGAATATTCACAGCAGTTTTAGTAAAAGTGTGGTACTTAAAAATTTTACAGAATAAGAGGCACCAATGATAAACTTCAGCAACTGGAATTTCTGTTTGTTGCTTCCCATTTCATGGGCCCTGCTGAAGCTGTAAAGGCCTTTGTTGTGTGTGGAAAAGAAACAATTATTTGGAGCTACCCTGCTAGTAACAGCACAGAAGGGAGGCAGAGCTGCTGCCACAGAGCTGATGAAAGGAAAAGATTGTTGTTGTGGCTGATATAATTCTAGTCGCATGTTACAGAGAACAAAGAAAGTAAGTTCAGTGAGTGTGGAAATACAGGGTGATGACAGCTTTACATTGGGTGTTCCAGCTTGGCTGGGTCAGTCTTCAGCAGAAGATCTTATGTGAAGAGCAGGGTATTTGGGGTCTCAGATTTATTGTTGAGGGTGTTCCTTCTGTCCCTCTCTAAAACAAAAGCATTCCCCTCCACTCCTCTGGTTAGGATGTGCCTCAGTGTAGAGACGTGTCCTGCACAGCACAGTCCAGCACTCAGGCAGATGTACCTGTGCCTTCCTAATGGATGACACAGTAACAATTCCAGGATGTCTCCTGCAAAACACAAACACAAATGGATGCAGAAATCAGTGGCACATTTTTTTACAAGAACAAGGCCACTCACCCATCTGAGCTCTGGCAGGATTAAGACCTTGTTTAGAAACAAGACGTTCAGTAAAACCAGTATTTTCAATGTTCATTTCTTAAGTCCTATAGAGGTTGTAAATATTTTGGAAGTTAGAAAGAATACAGAAATGTTCAAGTACTGCATATTCAGAGGTCTCAGATTTAGTACAATGTTTTATGAGGCTTCCTCATAACTCATTTCAGCTGCCCCAGTGGTAAGCACAGTGGTGTTTCAGGGCCCGGCTGCAGAGGTCACAGCCTTGTGCACACAATATATTGAACAATTCCATCATTCCTGCCTTCAAAGTGAATTTAGACTGACATAGCAGAATAGAAAAAAATGCTTAATAAACTAAGGGTTTTATTGCACACACACAGTCTCATAGGTATGCATTCAGCAAAGAGTGGGCATGACTCTATAATAGGTGCACTAAAAAAAGCCATCTGTTTGTATAATATCCCCTTTCACCACACTGAGTAAAAAAGACCTTTTCAGTTATTTTACTCTCTATCCTCACCACCTTTACATTTGTTTGACTATAGTATTACCTTAGTAGAGAAACCTTGTTATGGAAAGTGATAAATATGAAATTTAGGAGAATGAATCTTTTATGGGCAGGAGCAGAGGCAGCGCACTGAGCCAAGCAAGGGAGTCAGGAGACTGTGCCCTGGCAAGGGTGGCCTGTGCATGTCCTCTGGTGAGGAGAGGAACTTTCCACTGTGCTGCCCCTCCTGCCTCCTCCAGGGCAGCCAAAGCAGGAGCTTCCAGGGGCCAGCTCATCAGCCCAGATGCTGAATCAGCCCAAGAATATTTAACTACAGCAGAAAAATGGACCACACCAGAGGATTTTCTCCTTGAAGAGAACTCCACACTGTTCTGATTAGAGATGGAAATTTCTGAGGTATTCTGGACTTCTTCAAGAGGTCTCAGCAGTTTAGTGGAATTAAAAATTGAAGTCATGGTCACCTTAGGCATAAACATCAGTTAACCCTTGGATGTGATAAGATTTCTAAAATCTTATCAGACCTTCACCACTTTGAAAATATTCATAGCAAAACTATTTGATAAAACACTCCCAGTCTTTAGCACCCTACCATTCACAGTACCTGGTATGAGAAACAGCTTTAGCATCCCTAATTTTGAGATGAGCAGCTGAACTCCAGGACCCTTAGACCAATTCCTCCAGGATATCAGAGTGCCTCAAAACATTTGAGAGCCCAGCCCTGACTGACCCTCTAGAGGCCAGAATGAAGGATGGGAAGCAAAACCTTAAATCCAAGGCCTTCATGCCTTAAATGTTAATCATAAACACAGCACCATCCTTGTGCTATAAGGAAGTTACTCACCATAAATAATTCCACATTAGCATGACTTGTTAGCTAATTGCTTTTGCTTTGCAGTCTCACTGTTCTGTTATGTTGTACAGCCACTATGACCCTACTTTTCAGCCATATGTTGTCAGTCATATTTTTGCCTCTTGTTGCATTGCTGTCAGACTCTAAGCTGTTTATGAGTCCCTGAAATGTGAAATTTTGGTCTTATTTAGTTTTCAGCTAACCCTGTTGCTTAGATGCAAGAATATCACATTTACTATACAGAGAGATTTATTTAAAACCCAATTGTGAGTTACACTGAGGAATTTTCAGCAAACCATGACAATAAATAATGAGAGGATGTTTGCCTGGAGGACCTCCCTAATGAGGTTTGGTCTTAGGCAGGCATTCTGTTTAGAAGTCAAATACTTTGTTCCTTGAGATTTTCATGTTTCTCCCTATCTAGCAGGGATTTCTGTGAGGTTTCGTTAATAATTGACCTTGGGGTCACTCATGATTACACATAATGCAAAAAGACACCAGGAACCTATCTAGGGAAAAAGTAATTCTATATACAATTCCAATGTCTAATATTTATTTCTTTATAAACAAAAAATCTTAGCAAGATAGCAGGGTTTTTTTTGGAAGTAGGCAAAGACTAATACACTTTAAAAGAGACTATAGATAGCTGTGAATTAGAAAATATTATTGTGGCCCAAATTTGTTCAGAGGAGGGTTTCTGCTCTGAGGTGCACTTCATTGTATTGTTAATCTTCTGTAGGTTCTCTTCTCAAATGGATGAAATTAACTAAATGAACTCTTACTTCTGTAACTGTGGCATTTGCATTAGTTCACCCTCCAAAAGCCACTTTCCCCTTCCATGCCAGCCTCTGTCTGCTCCCCTAGTGGCACAGAGCATCTGTGGTGTCATGGGCTTGTGGCAGCCACGTGGGGAAATACCTCACCAGTTCAAACCTTCATCTCTCTGTAAGGGACACAGATGCACAGCTTTCCACCCTGGTGTTTTGGACATTATTATAAGGAGAGACAGGCAGCAGCAGTGGAGGTACTTGCAAACACACAAGTGATGTGTATATGATGCATTTAAAGGAAGAAAATCTGTAGGAAATGTTGTAACAGCTTGTGATGTTTGAGGGAGGTGGGTGTAGTTCTAATGATGGTCAAAGAAACCCCTGGCATTCTCCATCACAAGCCTGTAGATGAATTTCACACCCGTTCAATGTGTTATAATATTTCCTTGTAGGTTTACTTAAGGCCTGTCGAAAAGAGAGGGAAACACTTTTTTACTTGAACACTAAGAGACACAAATGTACTTACCCAAAAACCCAGGGTCCTGAGTAAGTTCATTGTGCATGGAAAGTCATTTACTGGATGTTTCTTGGATCCTTCAATGGACATCTAGTGGGATGGGTAAGTCACCAGACTTAGGGATTCCCCTGTGGACAAATCCCCACCAATCTTTAAAGGCTGTCAGAATGCATGTGTGGCACACCACAGTTATCAGGCAGTAATATGTATGGCAAATGGTTCTGATTGGATCTTTCAAGATGAAATTCTAAATAAATATCCAGGATGAAGTCTTCCTCCCTGGGTACATGACTATCTTTGCTCATTAATAGTCATTCTCATATTGGAAAGAACTCTCCTTAAAGTAGAGCAAAAGGGAAAAATACCATTGTCAGACTCCTAAATTAATAAAGCAGCCCAAGCATGCACTTAGAGCAATAAGCAGCACGTTCTCAGGTTGAGGAGATACACAATGGGAAAATCTATCTGTTTGCCTCAGCTGCACATCTGGTAGCCCTTAGGCAGAAGACAGGTTTGAAAGGCATCTAACCAGGAACTGCACACAGTGCCTGGTTCTTCAGGTAGTGCAAAGTTCAGCAGCCAAGATAAAAAAATGCAGGGCTCTGTTCCTCCTTGCCTCCGGCAACATCTGCTCGTGTGACAAAGAGAAAGCTCAGTAGTTCTGCACTTCAAATACCAGTTTGATGTCTGACTTATAATCAAAGTGCTCACTAACTCCATGCTTTGCTCTTACTCAACTGTTTTAATCTTTCACAGTGCAAGGAACTTGATAATGTAATAAACAAAAGATTGACAGAGGATGTAGCAACCCTAACATATCCGTCCAATTCCTCTGCTGAGGAGTGATGGATACTTCAAGTGAAGAATTCCCCTGGTGGCTTCATTGTTTTCCAGGCATCTTTCTATATGAACTTTTCCAATGGTAAAATCATTACAAAGTAGAAATGCAATCTCTCCAAGGGCTAGCTTGGAAGCCCAGTCTAATATACAGTGCTATAATGCAGTAATGAATCCTATAGGCAAACCAGGACTTTTTGTGAATGGTTTTGTAAGGCGAAGGAATGGGAGGAAATGTTGGATTGAGTTAGGTCAGAGTGCTATGTTTGGCCACCTTATAATTTGGGATGTTACAAACCAAGGTCTCTCCAAAAGGTAGAGCCTAAACTCTGAAATGAGAAACCCTTAAACTCTCTAAATGTGAGCTCTGTGTTGCATTTTTCAAAATGAAAAGGCATTGCTGAGAACACTGGTGTTCAGGTATCTCTGATATTCAAATCTTTAACTGAATTCAAATTTTACCTCTCAGTGGCAGCTGCAGTATTTTCTGCTTCCATTCCTTTTGAGATTGTTGCAGGGTGCATAATTCCCCAGTTACATGGTGGAAGAAGCTGGGGGTATTTTATGGCTGCATCAGAAGAAAGGCTCTTCCAGTCACACTGCAGCTACATCAGACCCTCTGATGAGCAACAAAATAATGCTTTAACATACCTCGATGAGAGGAAAGTAGTGGAATTCAGGCTGATATCATCCTCTCCAAGATGGCTTATTGGGAATTTTTATATGCAAAACTAGAAAAAAATCTGGCCCATCAGAAAATAAAACTCAGTGCTTGCTACCAGGACAGGGGATAAGTGAGAAAAATAAATTATGGTCAAAAGGTATATTTCTTTTCCAGCATGACAGGGAGGAAATAGTTGTCTAAGTTACAGATTTACAGTGAGAGTCCAGCCAACAGAAGTCTATATAAAGTTTAGAGATAAAAAATTAGAGACACTTACCAGAAATATTCTTCCCTTTCATCTTAGGAAAGAAAACAATTGCAATCAATTATGTTGTAATTATCATATTGGTTTCAAACTATTTGGAAGATTACTTTGTGTTAATAAAGCAGCTTACGCTAATAGAAGATTAAAACTCAGTTTGCCTAGTTTGGAAAACAAGAAGTGTTCAGGCATTGTTCGGGTCAGAGGGAACCCATTAGTCACATGTGTAACTAACCATAGTGGCAGCTCAGAACAATGAAATTATCATATAGTGATTTTTTTGTCTTTTTGATCAAATTAATAGGAAAAAAATGTTTTCAATTTACTTTAATTGACTCCTTGTAAGTTCTAAAATCTTTGTCTGTCTGCAATCAGAGCATTTCTACTGTCCTCAAAAAGAGAGATTATAACAGGATTCAGTGCCCTGCAATAAACCCTAAAGCAAACCCACCACAATTGTATTTGGTCACTGTACAACAAACTACTTCCCAGCAAAGCTCTAAGAAAAGCTCACTATTTACTAAAATTATACTGAATGAGCATCAGGGCTCAAGTCCTTGAATGCAACTTGTATAGTGTGAAAGGGATTGTCTTTTCAGAAGGTTTGATAAAACTGACATTGTGTTTCCCTTAAAAACAGTTAAATCTGGGGTCACGGAAAGAGAAAGAAAAATCTCTGAATGATTGATGGAAGTGGAGAAGGTAGAAAGCAGAAATTACTCTGAGTTTGTAACTACAACATAATCACTCCCTAAAAGCCTTTTGGGTGAGTGTCTGGGATGCTTGACCAATATCAAAGTGGGCAATGAGACAAGGAAGAAATAAATGTTTAGTGAGCCATGCTGTCACCTACAGGGACACAGGGGTCTGCCCACCTTCCCTCAGCACCCTCTGATGCAGTAAAGAAAGGATGTTCTGTTCCCCTGGCCACCAGCTAGTCTTGTTCCATTTCCTATGAGTCCCTTCCTTTTTATGCAATAAATGTTACACTGCTAGGAAAAGTATGTGTCCTCTTCTGGTACTGCAGCAGTGATTATTGGGAAACAGCACATTTTCTACTTATACATATACACACAATATATAGAAAATTATATATTATTACTTAAAAATTTATTATAATTTAATTAGTTATATATTTTAAATTCTATAAACAACATATTTATATGCATATTTTATAGATATACCTATATATATACTTATATAGACCTTGATATATATTCTTAAATTAATACTTTATCTACTGGATGTGTTCTATGTTTATAGTATATAAATTGCATTATAGAGTAGGACAATATTATGTATGTATCAAATTATATTATGCATTTTCTCATTTTATATGGTTAGTATATGTCCAAAATGATAACATGAAGGCTTATAGGCCCTTTTCACCTATTTAAGTGGGTGGGCAGGATAGGTATTAGGAATACTTTCCTAATTTTTTTTTTTATTGAGTCAGTAATAGCAGCTGCTTCTGTGTCCCAGGCTCAGGCTGGTGTCCCAGGAATGAGTGTTGGGGATCTGGAAGGGAAAGGTTTGAGGCTACAAGTGTTGTCATCTTATCACAGGGGTTCCATACTGTTGTCTCCTTATCCCATAAGTTTCATAACTTCTTGGGGTTTCTCACAGGCATCTCCCCAGAGCACTGACTCTTTCTTCTTCACAAAGCAGCCAACTGACTCCAGCTCCCTTCTCAATGAGCCACCCCACTCTTTTATAGCACTCTTCTTCTCATTGGCCACAGCTGTGGCCTGTTAAAGTCAGGCCTGCTCCTAATCTTTGCTAATTGGCCCAGCTGCAACTCCTTAGGGATAAGATTACTTTCTGCATTATCTTTACTTTCTGATATTCTATCCCTCTACATGCAAGGGATGCAGCAGCAGCAGCAGCCATCTCTGAGCATCAAACTCGTGCTGTCCCCAGTGGGCGGGTGATGGGGGCTGCACAGAGGCTTTCAGCACAGCTCAGCCTTGTCCCGGTGGGTGCAGGTAGCACCCCAGGCCCGGGGGTGCAGGTACCAGCCCAGCTCTGGGCGCCGGCTCTGTTCCAGGTCAGGGCTGTGCAGGACAGACCAGGGCCTGCAGCTCTGCTTGCCCAGCGCAGGGCACGGCTAACAAGGAGCAGGCTTTTGATGTTGCAAAATTCTCCATCTGTTCCCGGGATTTCTAATTACAGGCATTAATCTGTGCCCCTCCAATGAGCCATAATTGGTAGGCGTTTGCCTCATTAATCATTCAGGTGTGAGCCTCTCCATGCACAGCCGCAGCAGCTATGGCCGAGCAAATGTATCTGTACGAGCTTTGTAAGCGGCACCATTGCAATTCTTGGAATTATGGTGGATTCCAAGGACATTCGCAGTTACTGTCGCTCAGGGGCGTTTCAATATCCTGAAATGCCACAAGATGGCACTGACTGATTCCGAGGGCCCTGGTCCCGGCCGCCCGGGTAGGGCTCTGCCATGGCCGCAGGTGCGCTCTGGGCTGCTCAGGGCCTGTTTTACAAACCAGCTGCACTCGGCTGCTCCTGCTTGGTTTTGATGTGGTTCGTTTTAAGCTGTGGCTATGAAATGCTACAACTCTGTGACAGTGACATAAAGCTTTTGGATTTAGGCAGATTTGATTTTCCAATGTTATATGCAATATAACATTGGTCTGTTAAAGGCCCAAGCCAAACTTTACAAACAGAATACGAAGCCCAGGCTGCCTAAGTCCACCAAGAGCTGACATTTGTTATTCTTACCGAAAGGCAGAATGCCATAGCCGTGGGACACTCACAGAGCCCGGCTGGAGGGGTCACTGAGTAGCTCTGTAATTCACAGTGTGCCACCATGGCTACTTCTTTACAGGCCTCTTCCTGCCACCATGTGCCAATGTGGCTGCTTCTTTACAGGCCTTTTCCTGTACTTGAGCTCTGGACACTCTTGTCTGGACTCTCCAGGTATCCCCAGCTGGCTCGTAAAGTCTCTTCTTGTTTTCCTATCATAGTAAAGTATCTTTCCCTGCTTTTGCCCAAACCGTGCCTTTTAGGCTGGCTGTAGCCTCCTGAAGGGTGTTGCAGTGGCTCAGTTGATTGATGAGTTGCAATAACTACTTTTGAGTCCCTTTGTTGTGACACTGGTTTTGAGTTTCCTCCATATATAATGAATAGCCTAACAAACATAGTGTATTATTTCATTTCTTTATTAAGTCATTTATTATACAGCAAGTTCTTTAACTGAATCAGAAAAGTTTCTGGATAGAACCAATTTACTGTCATCATAGTGTAACATATGGCTCTTACAAGGACTTATTTTCAGCAAATCCATACATTGCAGAACCTGCTCAACACTAAAACAATATTTTTTTCATTTAACAAACTTGTAGTCAAAT